GGAAGATTCATTCGCATTTGAACTTTGAGAGAGAGAGAGAGAGAGAGAGAGAGAGAGAGAGAGAGAGAGAGAGAGAGAGAGAGGGCGTCAAGGAGTTTCTGGCCCCGAGTTTGGTCCACCAAACTCGGTGTCAGAAACTCTCTGATGCCCTCCCTCTCTCTCTCTCTCTCTCTCTGTGAGTGAACCTCTCATGAGAATGAATCTTCCTCTTTATCGAGGAAGATTCATTCTCGTTGGGCAGGTCTGATTTCCTTTTTTTTCGTTTTTCTTTTGCTAAAGGTAAGGTTCCCCCCCCCCCCCCCCCCCCGTTTGAAACGCAGCCCGAGGTGGTGGTAGTGGTGCTGATAAGTGCAGACATCACTACAACTCCCGGGGTGGCTCCATCTATTGGTGGGGAGCAGCACCTGCTGGAAACCGGGTGCAGTGTCCCTAAATCATGCAAACATCTGAGTGTGGCTTAAACGTGTTAGTTGGTAGTAACCTTAGTCCTATTACTGCTATCTCTCTTCAATCATGATTTTTCAGACAACAGTTGAGCTGATCCTCCACTCTCCTCCTCTGAGTACTAGGGTTTTAGAGTCTCTTGCCCGAACCCCAAGCTAGCTCTGCCTCTTCAGCCCTTCTTTGAGGCTGCCTGTTATTTTAGTTCCTAGCAGTCGCGCTACTCCCTTAAGCACTCTTGCACTTCTTGCCTTTTCTGGCGTCTCCCCCCTTTGTCCTTCAGCCTTTTCCATCACTCTCCACCGTACCACGTCACGCCTACCAGGCTATTAGCTGGGGGGGGAAAGAAATCTGGGAATTCGCCACTCGGACGCATTGGGATTGAGTCGTCCAACTTAGTCCATTCGTTGAAGAGGAGCCTGTAGTCTCTAGTTACCGCCTTGTTGTCCCCCATCTCCCTCTGTCCCCCATTTTCCCTTTTCCATTCCACCATTCCTATCTTTCCCCCTGTTCCCCCCCTGAGCCAGCTTTTGCAGAACTCTTGTATCCTTTGCTTTATTTCGTTCTGTGTGTGAATGTGTTTGATCTGTGCGGTTATTTCCTCCCACCTTGCTGTTATGTTTGTATGAATCTGTTGTTGTATGTTCTCCGTAAATTTTGGCCCTTCCAACTTCACGCCCTCCATTTCATAAGTGCAGCGGCATCTCCAGAGTACCCACAATCTACGAATCCCCCTCGGCGGTGGACATCCGCGGACCCGCGGACGCATCCGCGCATCCACGAGGATGCGCGGACCTGTGGCGGCCGAAAGGACGGTCCGTTCGGAATTCCGAAAACGGCTCCCGGCGGTGCATCGGCGTTCCTAGGCCTGCGCACTGAAAAAAAAATAAAAATGATTTTCAGTGGGGGTCACTTTTGGTTCCCTATGAACCCCCCCAAAAAAATACCCCCACCCCCTTTTCGCGATTTTGTCGAAGTGGGGGTGTTCGACACGTCGCAATGTACGTGTCGACGGAAAAAAAAAAAATTCCGGCGGTGGTTGGGGGGTTGGGGAAGGGGTTATTCATTATGGGCTTTCGTCGCGTGTTGGGGTGGCAAATGGTGTGGGTTGGAAAAAGTAGGTTGGTGGGGCCCGTTTGGGGGGGGCCCGTTTGCCGTTGGTGGGGCCCGTTTGGGTGGGGCCCGTTTGGGTGGGGCTGCTTTGGCGAAGCCCGTCTGCTGGTTATCTCATCCCATTTGGTGGGTCCCGTTTGGTGGGGCCTGTTTGGGTGGGGCCTGTTTGGGTCGGGCCCATTTGGCGGGGCCCGTCTGCTGGTTATCTCATCCCATTTGGTGGTGCTCGTTTGGGTTCGTGGGGCCCGTTTGGGTGGGGCCCGTTTGCGGTGTGGGTGGCCCATTTCGTGGGGCCCATTTGGGTGGGTCCTGTTTGGTGGGGCGCATTTGGTGGGGCCCATTTGGGTGGTGCCCGTTTGCGGTGTGGGCGGCCCATTTGGTGGGGCCCGTTTGGTGGGGCCCGTTTGGTTGGGGCCCATTTGGTGGGGCCCATTTAGGTGGTGGTTATCTCATCCCATTTGGTGGTGCTCGTTTGGGTGTGGGCGGCCCGTCTGCTGGTTATCTCATTTGGTGGGGCCAGTTTGCGGTGTGGCCCGTCTGCTGGTTATCTCATTT